TCTTGTGATAAGTCTGCTGATTCTGTGAGGGAACTTTCAGTACAGAATCAAAGAAAAACTTCAAGTCATTTAATTGGGGTATTTGTATTCAGGGTCATAACAAATTACAGATGAAAGAACACATGCAATATATTGTGGTGCGCATCTCAATACATTAATAATTATTGCAATTTTTTGCAATATGATAATCAGGCCAATGCTCATCACTTATGATAATATGAATAGACTATTATCATCTCCGTTTGGGATCTACAATTCCTATGATTTATAGGGCTTATGAGTCAATATTACTGAGTTATTCTGTTTGTGAAACGGTCATCAACAATCTACATTTATTGTACACACCTGTTGACCACCTGTGTGTTTGTAGTGTGATGGTATAGACCTGACGTTAAGACACAACTGAAGCAGACTTCCACATCTACATTCATGTTATAGCACACCTGTTGACCACCTGTGTGTTTGTAGTGTGATGGTATAGACCTGAGGTTAAGACACAACTGAAGCAGACTTCACGTCATCATTTTCATCCCAAACAACAAGATCTTCAAAACTCTAGAATACTTCTTCACCAAACTTGGCACATAGATAGGCCTAGTGGTGAACTGGTGCCTTTTGATAGTTTGGGAATTCAAGTTTCCATGGCAACAAGTTTCATATATTTATTCACGACAAGTATTTACTATTGCAGGGGATTTCAATGACTTAGTCCTCTTGTCATTTGTTGGTTGCTTGTTCGTTATTTAACGCAGCACTCTGCAATATTCCAGCTATATGACGGCAGTCTCTTGTCCTCTTGTCATTGTGCCAGAAAGTATGAAAATTGTGAATTGGGTTAATATTAACCTTTATCAATATGGCTGTGTTCACCATATTCCTTATCAATTGTGTATCATGATATTAAACAAAGCATTGAACTTGTGACAGCAGGTCTATTTTCTGCTATAAAACTGTACACCTTTTAATTACTTGGTGTTTATTAGGGCTGTGTAGCCTGGAGGTTTTTAGCGTAGTATATTGTGTTACTCAGGTCTGTATTGTGATACGGACTGCAATATATTGGCATCTACATATTTAGAGGGAAGACATAAAATGTTGTTGGTTGCGATGATGTGCAAACTGTAACAACTCTCTGGGACTGAGATGGCTACTGGAGACACTGACTGTGTTTGCGTAAGTAATGTTGAGAGGCGCCGGCGCCGGTGCACGTTGTGAGATTGATTGCTCCTGCATATTTCACCATGACATTACATCGACGACATACTGCTGTGTTTAATTTATCTCATTATTAATTATGCCCAGGAAATACACTTATATGTGTATTTTGTCATCCAAATCTGACTTCTACAGGTTTTGTTTGTTTGTTGTTTAATGCCTCACTCAGCAATATTCCAATGTACTTGGTTGATACATGTCATCGTATCCCAAGCGCATGTATCCATGCTCGTGATGTCAGTCACTGGATTGTCTGGTCCAGACTCGATTATTTACAGACCGCTGTCATTGGGTACAATGTGTGAAGCCCATTTTGGGTGTCCCCCGCCGTGATATTGCTGGAATATTGCTAAAAGCGGCGTAAAACCATACTCACTCACTCATTCACTCACATACTGCTGAAATTTTGTATTACCGTATACCTGTACATTGGGGAGCTGGGTGGAGTCTGGGATCTTGGATGGAGGCTAGGTATCTGTTCAGCTACAGCTGCATAACCAGATATTATTCTCCTTAAAACTGTGAGCCCAAATATTTTACTTTAAAGAACACCTTGCAATAATGTTAGTGTTGTAGCAGACAATTTCTTTTTCAACAGTCCGAAGATTAATTATCTTTTTTAAGCACTTTCTGTGACAATCTTGTTTTATATAGACTGTAAATCGTGAAATAAATGCATCTCCAAAAGAATGCGACCGCTGGCCCCTTGCCAAAAATGCAACATCCCCCTCCTCTCAAGCATCATTGGATTTATGTCAGGTTTATAGGAGAATCCTCACCTTAATCCAACCTTACATTAATGAAATCACACACCATATAGCACTGTTTATTAGCGCTGAGTAGAGTACTTCCGCGAAAACAATACATGCGCGCTGGCTCGTGTTGGCTTTTGATGCAGTCGCTTAGAACATAGACACCATGTTGGGTGGGTGGCGTCTGTCCGGACTTGCAGGTGTGATCAGTGATGACATGAGTGTGTAGAACTCTTGTCTTGACCCCAGCAGTGACAATTCACAGGATGTCATAAGTGTTTGAATGACATTGTTTATCTACTTGTTACAAGTGCTGCTCAACATGCTCAATAAACAGTGATGTGGAATACATTGTTGTTTGTTTTCAGCATATGTCTAAGTTGGTATTTCTGCTATCCAAAATGTCTAAATGTCGATATAAATGTGATGTTTAATGATGCGAGCAAAGACCACTCGCTTTTTTGTATATGATTCACGCTCGCGTTAATTTCAAGATTTACAGTATATATTTTGTATACCGTATTTGACATAATAAGTGCCCAGGGCGCATTCAAAATTAGAAATAGGGGGCTCTTATTAGAGTTGAAGAGTTGAAAGATATATTTCGTGGTTTATGCTGACAGCCTGAAATGTTTATATACGACAGATATAAGTTTCCAGAATTTATTTGCCCATAAACATAGGTGCATATAACAGACGAGTGTGTATTATACACAAATCAATGTCTTTTGTACATTGATAAATCGGAAGGGGTGCTAATTGGGATTGTTCACTAGCCAATATATTAGCAAATATCGCCGTGGGCGCTTATTAGAGCGGGGCGCTTATTACGTCGAATACGGTATATAAAATCTCAGCCTCCCCTCCTAATATCAAATATTTGTCCCTGATTAGCCTGATATTGGCATGACCAATAACATCATTTGGCATGTTTGGCTTATGTTGTTTGGCATTTCGGAAGTCAGAGTACAAAGGTTGGTATGACTGAAGCTGTTGACGCAGTGATGGCTGTTGACCTCCGGACCTGCTCTATGCTGCTACTTGTGTCCGTGGCGACCTCTGTTAAATCATGTAGGTGAAAGGTCACTGTAGGTCCTCCTGGGATATCAGTGATAGGGGAGTGTGAAACTGTGGATGATACAAATACCTCATGGCCAGTGTATTAAGTCTTAATACCGTTATCATAAATGTCCTGCTTGGCTGACTATTGTGACATCATCGTTACCATGACATCACAATCAAATGACATCACTAATCTCTCTGCCACCGAAGCTGGTCAGCTGTACCAGCATACCAAGCATCCTATTCAGCATTTTATTTGTCGTAGCTTTGTTTTTTATGTGATGTAAAAGGACTCGATTTAGCTAATGTAAGTTGGTTGGTTGGTTGGTTTGTTGTTTAACGCAGCACTCAGCAATATTCCAGCTATATAACGGCAGTCTGTAAATAATCAAGTCTGGACCAGACAATCCAGTGATTAATATCATGAGCATCAATCCACGCATTTGAGATCGATGACATGCATAAACCAAGTCAACAAGCCTGACCACCTGATCTTGTTAGTCGCCTCTTACGACAAGCATAGTCGCCATTTACGGCAAGCATGGGTTGCTGAAGACCTATTCTACCCCGTAATTTTCACGGGTCAGCTAATAGAAAACATGCACCAGTGCAACCTATTACTGAAAAATGCAACATAATATTTATGTCAACCTGCACCAAGTGCAAAATTCTAAATTTGTGTCTGCCTAAGCCTTACTTGTCCACACAACATCGATCTTGAACATACTATATACCCCTAAGGCGTATTTACCATACTACATCACTAATCCCTGTGTTATGTGTAATTGGTCATGCTTTCATGGGCCTGACATCATCAAATTGTGGGTACTTCAAGATTATGTGCGCATGTTCCTATTATGTTCCATAGCAATGCATTATTAATTCATGTGACACAGGTAGTAGACTGGACTATGTTTTAACTGTTCAAAAATAGGGTATGTGAAGATTGGAAGACGGATGCCTCGATGCACACGCGAACCGCCAGTCACGACCTTGGGAGGATTGGGGGCTCTCGGCAGTGTGTGATTTTACATAGCGCTTTAATTACTTTCGCAGAGGTCGTGGGTGACAGCACAGCCACAGTGATTGAATTAATTAGTATCAAGCGCTTCACTGAGTACTGTGGACCGCACCCGTCTCGCGTACAAGAGACAGCAGAGCCGTCACGCGTACACGTTATGTCTGCGACTGTGTATGGGACCAGGGTGCTGCCTGCTTTTGTCTGCAGCAACTGCACCTGGTGTAAGTTAAATCAAGTTCTTAAATCCCGCCCTGCGTCACTTTCCCCCTCTCCCATCACTATCTTAACACAGAATGTCTCGCTGCACCAGTAATAATAGACCCGTGAAGATCCGGGGTAAAATAGGTCTTCAGCAACCCATGCTTGCCTTGAAAGGTGACTATGCTTGTCGTAAAAGGCAACTAACGGGATCAGGTGGTCAGGCTCCCTGACTTGCTTGATGCATGTCATCAATCCCAATTGCGCAGATCGATGCTCATGATATTAATCGCTGGATTGTCTGGTCCATACTCGATTATTTACAGACCACCGTCATATAGCTGGAATATTGCTGAGTGTGGCGTTAAACAACAAACCAACCAACCAACCAGTAATAATTGGTAGGTTATATTGAGCATCGTGCTATTTGAATCGGGCACAAAACGAAGCAGTGAAAATGAATGTGTCCACAGTATCATACTGTATAACGGAGACACTGGTTGATCGAGGATGACAAGGACCATTTTCACACATGAACATGATGTCACAAGGGTTTAACCATTCAGAGAACACTGCCATATGATCTGTACAATGTTAAAAAATCTGTCATTTTAAGGAAATATTTCTGTCATCAAAGGAAATGAATAGTAGCCCAACTGAGTCAGTTTATGTGTATATTTGTAGCTGGAACAAAACGTATGCAATGTATTTTAAAGATGAAACAATGTAAGATTATTTCCTTGTTGCTGCAGAACATGGGTCCCGCCCCCTACCACTACGAGCCCCTGGCCATGGAGAACCTGGCACTCTGTGACTACACAACCAGGTTCAGCTTGGAGCAGGCAAAGTCGGGACAAGGTGAGGGGACACAGCAACAACAATAACAGCAACACCCACAGCAACAATAACAACATCCACAGCAACAACAATAACATCCACAGCAACAACAATAACAACACCCACAGCAACAACAATAACAACATCCACAGCAACAACAATAACAACACCCACAGCAACAACAATAACAACACCCACAGCAACAACACCCACAGCAACTACAATAACAACATCCACAGCAACAATAATAACAATATCCACAGTAACAACAATAACAACACCCACAGCAACAACAATAACAACATCCACAGCAACAATAATAACAATATCCACAGCAACTACAATAACAACATCCACAGCAACAATAATAACAATATCCACAGTAACAACAATAACAACATCCACAGCAACATCAATAACAACATGCACAGCAACAATAACATCCAGAGCAACAACAATAACAACACCCACAGCAACAACAATAACAACATCCACGGCAACAACGACAAAACAACCACAGCAACAATAACAGCCACAGCAACAACAATAACACCCACAGTAACAACAATAACATCCACAGCAACAACAATAACACCCACAACAAACAACAATAACACCCACAACAAACAACAATAACAACATACATGACAACTACAATAACAAAATCCACAGCAACAACAATAACAACATCCACAGCAACAACTACAATAACAACATCCACAGCAACAACTACAATCACAACATCCACAGCAACAACCATAACAACATCCAAAACAATAATATCAGCATCCATAGTAACAGCAACAACATTCACAATAACCGCATCCACAGAAACGTTAATAACAAAATCCATAACAACAACAATAACAACATCCACAACAATAAGAACATCCACAGAAACAACTACAATAACATCTTGATTTGTTGTAGCAACCCGACCGGTACGAGTCTATGCCGATGGAATCTACGACATGTTTCACAGTGGCCACGCCCGACAACTAATGCAAGCCAAACTGGCCTTCCCAAATACCTACCTCATAGTGGGAGGTGAGTATGTTGTTTCCACGGTAACGACGTTACAGAAATATGAAAGTTTGAGATTAATATTAATCACCTAAATGGACTGGGTAATGTGAACATTTGTATACCTGTAATTTTGTAAATTAAGAACAAAATTAATTCATTATCTGTATTTGAAATTTAGCATGGAAATCAACAGGTCCTCATTGTTGGAAATTTAGATTTTTAGTTTTCCCTAGATTCAAACACTATTCTCAGGGTCACAAGGACCCCTTCTCCTTTTATTTTCTATCTAAGATGATTTTCTCAGAGATCAAGGGTGCCGACTACTTTATCCTGCAATAAATTACACTTTTTGAGGTATGTCATAATGGACTGGCCTCATGGAGCTTTTCAAATTACCTCCCCTGTTATCCCTGGAAATAAGACGTCAAAGCACTCGGACTCATGCGTCCTCATGCTTTAACTATAGTTCAGAGCAAAACTATACTTTATTACACTACACATGGGGGAAGAGCAAACTTTATTACTTAACCACTACAAACTTACCTCTTCCTGTTACAGTTATCATTTGCCAAAACTATTGTCTGAAATGGCAGACTATTTCAAGAAAAATAATCCATTCTCCACATTAGTACAATGCGTAGAGCTGTTTTCTGGTGTACCCTGCCGTGACATATTGCTGGACTATTTGTAAAAGCGGCATAAAACCATATTCACTCATCACCAATCTCATCGAACCCTGGACCTTCCGCTCTCCGGGTGGACGCTCTACCACTAGACCACGTAGGCGGTCCGATACCACTGTACAGTGAGTGATGAGTCAATCTCATTAAAATCAGACCTTAGTTCTCGCTACCGCTAAACAAAGATCTGAAGACATCCCATTAGGGGTCACGTCAGAACGACCTTTCATTCGACCAATCAGAGCTTCGCTTACCAGATTATGAAAGTGACAGTCGGAATGTGATTTCTAATCATGCAATCTCGAAAACTTTAACAGGGGGTATTCCGAACGATAGTTATGGGTTTAAAGACTGAATCCTTACAATCTAGAACATCTATTAGCCATTCCAGAATGTTTTTTGTTCAGGTTTCAAATTTTTAATTGAGAATTTGTAAAAATATGTTTCGAAGCGAAGTCGCCAATTTGAAATTAGTGCCGTAAAGCACGAGAAAGCTGCCTTCTGATTGGTCATTCCATTGGTCGGTCAAAGTTCGCGCAAGGTCGGTCGGTGACCCGTAATCGGATGTCCTCAGATCTTTGTTTAGCGGTAGCCAGAACTAAGATCTGATTTTAATGAGATTGACTCATCACTCACTGTACAGTGGTATCGGACCGCCTACGTGGTCTAGTGGTAGAGCGTCCACCCGGAGAGCGGAAGGTCCAGGGTTCGATCCCGGGCCGCGTCATACAAAAAGACGTTAAAAGATGGTACTTGTTGTTACTCTGTCTGGCGCTCGGCATTAAGGGGCTAAAACAAGGACTGGTCGGCTCGGAGTCAGTATACTGTGTCTGAGTGGGGTATTCATGTTAAACTGCGGCATGGTATCTCAGTGAGCTAGCACTATAAATCGGCATCAGTCTGGACTAGTACAAGCAGCCACACACACACATACACGTGCATGCACGTCGCTATATAAGTGCAATAATCTTGGACGCAACGTTAAACCCAATTTCACCTCACCTCACCTACAGTGGTACCCGAATGTTAAATGTTCTTTCCTTTGACAGTGTGCAATGATGGCCACACTCACAAGATGAAGGGCAGGACTGTCATGAACGAATCAGAAAGATACGAAGCTGTCAGACATTGTCGATACGTCGACGAAATTGTCACAGATGCACCGTGGGTACTGACAGAAGATTTCTTAGAAGAACACAAGGTTCGTGACTGGAGATTCTGAGTTAGAATAGATCCACACATTCTATGCTGGTCGTAAGAGGTGACAAATGGATTCGATGGTCAGGCTTAGTGACTTGGTTGATTGTAGTGTTTGAAATAGCTGCCTACCCGCTAACCAGATGCCAGTGACTATTAAATTGGGCAAGTGACATTTCTGTCAAGCTGGTCCGACTGTCCGACTGTAGTCATACATATATATTCCTGAATATTTTCTAAAATATGATGTGGGCTTTAAAGATTTGTTGTTAACAATCCCTCATGGCCAGCGAACTTTGCAAACTAATCCATACACTGGTTGATTGTGTGTCATTGTACCCCGATGTTGTGGGTAATTGTTAACAGTATCAACAACTGGATTGTCTGATCCGCACTCAAGTACTTACAGACCTCTGTCATATATACAGCATACTGTAGAGTGTGGTGTTAAACAGCAAGCAAACATTTGGTGTCTCCTTAGGCAAGTGACCATGTTCGCAATATGCATCTGTTCAGCAGCAAATGGCTACCTGATAGTATGACATACATCCCAGAGTTCAAGTGGACACTATTCCAAAGACCAGAGGGGGCACTGGTGGCCCAGTCGTCTAAGGCGCCGCGATTCGCTGTGCAGAGTTGCGTCCCTTGGGCACGCCAGAAACCTACGATTGTGGGTTCGAGTCCCGGTTCGCCCCGATTATGTTTCTAGGTTTGTCAGCACCATACCCATGCTCGTGGGTTTCACCGAAGTAGTAAATGTCCGCATCACTTCGGGCTTTCCTCCCACATTAAGCTCACACGCCGCGATATAACTGGAATACTGTTAAAAGCGGCGTTTAACCCAACTCACTCACTCACCCAAAGACCAGAGTAAAACTAATGATATTGTTTTGAGCATTTACTAGTGTATTTATTTATTTATTTATTTATTTATTTATTTATTTATTTATTCCAAACTTAAAGGACAGGTGTATAGTTATACCAAGAAATCCATCAGTCTGTCCTTCCGTCCGTCCTTCTGTCTCTCCTTCCAAGGAAATGTTTTGTGTGTGACCTATATCTTGAAAACTACCAGATTCGTTTCAAACTTGCCAATAGGAGAGGAACTGTGCGAAGGTTGATTTCAATATTTTAATTTTCTGAAAAATAGAGCTATTTTACATGTTCTTACTGTCATAATCACCACACATAAATGATGTAAGGTAACCCTCCTAACTGAAGTCCCCACTTCTATGGCAGATTGATTTTGTGGCGCATGACGAGCTCCCCTACACAGCGGGCTCCAGCAATGGGGACGTCTACCAGGGCATCAAGGAGAAGGGAATGTGAGTTACACCCGAGAACAGGCCTACCCTTGAAAACTGTCATATGTCTTCAATACACAAGGAAACGCAGCTTAATACAAGAACATATCCAAAGACAAATAAACATTGTCATAAATCTGAGAGCACACTACCGAAAACATGGAAATGGCATGACCAACTCCCTTCTGTGTCTGCACAAGCCTAGTTTGAAGATTGCTGTGTTTTAGCGCTTTCCTGCCATGTTGTTGGTAGTGCCTTCAGTTTTGTAATGATGTTTCTTAGTTTTCAAAATGTTCTCATTGTTTTGTGTTTGCCGATTTCTTGTGTATTGTAGACATAATCAATCTCTTTAAAATCAGATCCATTATGGGTCACGTCAGACCGACACTGCGCAAACTTTGACCGACCAATTGAAGTCAACATTAGCCAATCAGAAGGCAGCTTTCTCGTGCTTTACGGCATTAATTTCAAATTGGTGACTACGCTTCAAAAGATATTTCGACAATTACTCGATTAAATTTAAAACCTGAACAAAAGAACATTCTTGAATGGCTAATAGGTGGTCCATATTGTATCATCTTCCCGAGGCAAGTGAGTTAACTGACTATAAAAGTCCAGTTTCCACCCTTGCCGAACAAAGCTGGTATTATGGAGTTACATTTTGGCTGGACTAATGAGTCAATGCATAGTCCAATCAAAATCGCCCACCGAAATCGAAATCCGGTTCTTAAACGGTCGTGCAGATTTCGGTCGATTGCAGGATTTGCAAAGCATGGGCACAGCCAACAGATATTTTCCAATTTTTTTCATGTTTTTTATCAAGGTACTCATGTGATTTGATACATTTCGCGATGTAAGACCCGTTTTATCACAATATAGATCTTGATTATCGATCACATCGTCCCGACTTGGCGCAATCATTTTGTGTGAAGCAAAGATACGAGAGGTGGAATCTGATTGGTCCATAGAAGAGGAGAGGGACAGAACTGGTAATAGCCACTGGTGGCGCTACGATCGAGCCAAGTAATTCCAGCCTAGTTCGGCAAGGGTGGAAACTGGACTTTTTAAGTCAGTTAACTCTCTTGCCTCGGGAAGATGTATTGTATGGATTCAGTCTTTAAACGCGTAACTATCGATAAGAATACCCCGTGTTAAAGTTTTCGAGGTTGCATGATTAGAAATCGCGTCCCGACTGTCACTTTCATGATCTGGTAAACGACACTCTGATTGGTCAGATGAAAGGTCGTTCTGACATGGCCCCTAATGGGATGTCCTGAGATCTTTATTTAGCGGTAGCGAGAACTAAGATCTGATTTTAATGAGATTGAGACAATAGGACAGTTTTTGATTGCAGCCTGTCAGTTTTCATTGGTAGATCTGAAGAACAACTCACTGTTTGTGGACTTGCTTGAGACTCCTGCAGGGATGCTGTGTCAGAATAAGTCCCCAGCAATCTCATCTTCCCGTGGCAAGAGAGTTAACTGACTTTAAAAGTCCAGTTTCCACGCTTGCCGATCTTGGCTGGAATTACTGGGCTCGATCGTAGCGCCACCAGTGGCTATTACCAGTTATGTCCCTTCTAAGCCTCTCCTATGGATCAATCAGAGTCCACCTCTCGTATCACTTGCATTTGCTTCAAACAAAACAGCGACGCCCAGTCAAGACTATCTGATCGATAAGCAAGATCTATGTATTGTGATAAAATGAGTCTTACACTGCGAAGTGCATCAAATCATGTTAGCACCTTGATTAAAAACATGAAAAGATTTAGAAAATATCTGTTGACAACGAGTTGGCGGTGCACAGGTTTTGCAAATCCTCCAATCGACCGAAATCTGCATGACAGTTTACGAACTGGATTTCGATTTTGTTACGCAATTTTGATTGGACTATGCATAGACTCATTAGTCCAGCCAAAATGTAACTCCATAATACCAGCCTAGTTCGGCAAGTGTGGAAACTGGACTTTTATAGTCAGTCAACTCACTTGCCTCGGGAAGATGCAGCAATCTATGCTTGCCGTAGATGGATTGGGTAGTCATTGTCATTGTACCCCAACAGGGATGGTACTCATGATATCTATCACTAGTTTGTGTGGTCCATCAGACTCTCCTCCCATGTTGTGATACAGTTACCATGGTTACAGTGTTCAAAATGAAGCATGAAAGTCAAGGCGAAAGGATTTTGGGGTCCCAAGAGTCAAAACTTCTAGAAGCAAACCAAAATGACGTTGCAGTTATGTAATTGATATAATGTTCAGACCGATGTAGAACCCCACTCACTGTGTATCCTAGGTTCCTGGCTACAGAGAGGACGGAAGGGATCTCCACAACTGATGTGATTGCGAGAATCATCAAGGACTATGACATGTATGTGAGGAGAAATCTCCAGAGAGGATACACAGCCAAGGAGCTGAACATCGGCTTCATGAAGGTAGGTTGTAGTCTCACATCACAGCCAAGGAGCTGAACATCAGCTTCATGAAGGTAGGTTGTAGTCTCACATCACAGCCAAGGAGCTGAACATCGGCTTCATGAAGGTAGGTTGTAGTCTCACATCACAGCCAAGGAGCTGAACATCGGCTTCATGAAGATAGGTTGTAGTCTCACATCACAGCCAAGGAGCTGAACATCAGCTTCATGAAGGTAGGTTGTAGTCTCACATCACAGCCAAGGAGCTGAACATCAGCTTCATGAAGGTAGGTTGTAGTCTCACATCACAGCCAAGGAGCTGAACATCAGCTTCATGAAGGTAGGTTGTAGTCTCACATCACAGCCAAGGAGCTGAACATCAGCTTCATGAAGGTAGGTTGTAGTCTCACATCACAGCCAAGGAGCTGAACATCGGCTTCATGAAGGTAGGTTGTAGTCTCACATCACAGCCAAGGAGCTGAACATCGGCTTCATGAAGATAGGTTGTAGTCTCACATCACAGCCAAGGAGCTGAACATCAGCTTCATGAAGGTAGGTTGTAGTCTCACATCACAGCCAAGGAGCTGAACATCAGCTTCATGAAGGTAGGTTGTAGTCTCACATCACAGCCAAGGAGCTGAACATCGGCTTCATGAAGGTAGGTTGTAGTCTCACATCACAGCCAAGGAGCTGAACATCAGCTTCATGAAGGTAGGTTGTAGTCTCACATCACAGCCAAGGAGCTGAACATCGGCTTCATGAAGGTAGGTTGTAGTCTCACATCACAGCCAAGGAGCTGAACATCAGCTTCATGAAGGTAGGTTGTAGTCTCACATCACAGCCAAGGAGCTGAACATCGGCTTCATGAAGGTAGGTTGTAGTCTCACATCACAGCCAAGGAGCTGAACATCGGCTTCATGAAGGTAGGTTGTAGTCTCACAACACAGCCAAGGAGCTGAACATCAGCTTCATGAAGGTAGGTTGTAGTCTCACATCACAGCCAAGGAGCTGAACATCAGCTTCATGAAGGTAGGTTGTAGTCTCACATCACAGCCAAGGAGCTGAACATCAGCTTCATGAAGATAGGTTGTAGTCTCACATCACAGCCAAGGAGCTGGACATCAGCTTCATGAAGGTAGGTTGTAGTCTCACAACACAGCCAAGGAGCTGAACATCAGCTTCATGAAGGTAGGTTGTAGTCTCACATCACAGCCAAGGAGCTGAACATCAGCTTCATGAAGGTAGGTTGTAGTCTCACATCACAGCCAAGGAGCTGAACATCAGCTTCATGAAGATAGGTTGTAGTCTCACATCACAGCCAAGGAGCTGAACATCGGCTTCATGAAGATAGGTTGTAGTCTCACATCACAGCCAAGGAGCTGAACATCAGCTTCATGAAGGTAGGTTGTAGTCTCACATCACAGCCAAGGAGCTGAACATCGGCTTCATGAAGGTAGGTTGTAGTCTCACATCACAGCCAAGGAGCTGAACATCGGCTTCATGAAGGTAGGTTGTAGTCTCACAACACAGCCAAGGAGCTGAACATCAGCTTCATGAAGGTAGGTTGTAGTCTCACATCACAGCCAAGGAGCTGAACATCAGCTTCATGAAGGTAGGTTGTAGTCCCACATCACAGCCAAGGAGCTGGACATCAGCTTCATGAAGGTAGGTTGTAGTCTCACATCACAGCCAAGGAGCTGAACATCAGCTTCATGAAGGTAGGTTGTAGTCCCACATCACAGCCAAGGAGCTGGACATCAGCTTCGTGAAGGTAGGTTGTAGTCCAGACATACAAAGAACACTTTTTATAGCCAGACTGTGTAATTACATGATTAATTTGCGTACTTCAGTATGGATTTGTTGACATGGTATTTCCAGTGTTACGTGCTCACGGTAATGTCTTTCCGTTGGGGGAAAAAACATCAAAACTCGTTTTTGCATGTATAATGCGCAGCGGTTCTACACAGCTGTGTTTTTTTTTTTAAAAAGTGTGCACTATACTCAAGAAAATATGGTAGGTTGTAGTTTCACCAATAAGGTTTAATGGACTAAACAAATGAATCTCTGGTGACCTGACAGTCTTGTGCTTCAGGAGAAGCGTATCATCTTCAAGGCTAACTATGAGAAGATGGGGGAGAAGGTGAAAGAGAAGGGGAAGGAGTTCTATGACAAATGGAAGGAGTCTGTCGACAAGGGCAATGAGCTCATCCACAAGTGGGAGGAGAAATCGAAGGAGTTCATCGGCAGCTTTCTCGACATGTTCGGCAACAATGGGAAACTGGTAAGAATACAGTGACCTGGACAGGTGGATACTCATGGGGAGGTGGAGGTTGACGCATTAAATATTCTAGGGGAGGTGGAGGCTGACCATTGGATATTCTAGGGGAGGTGGAGGCTGACCATTGGATATTCTTGGGGAGGTGGAGGCTGACCATTGGATATTCTTGGGGAGGTGGAGGCTGACCATTGGATATTCTTGGGGAGGTGGAGGTTGGCCATTGTATATTCTAGGGAAGGTGGAGGCTGACCATTGGATATTCTTGGGGAGATGGAGGTTGGCCATTGGATATTCTTGGGGAGGTGGAGGCTGACCATTGGATATTCTTGGGGAGGTGGAGGTTGGCCATTGGATATTCTTGGGGAGATGGAGGTTGGCCATTGGATATTCTTGGGGAGATGGAGGCTGACCATTGGATATTCTAGGGGAGGTGGAGGCTGACCATTGGATATTCTTGGGGAGGTGGAGGCTGACCATTGGATATTCTAGGGGAGGTGGAGGCTGACCATTGGATATTCATGGGGAGGTGGAGGTTGGCCATTGTATATTCTAGGGAAGGTGGAGGCTGACCATTGGATATTCTAGGGGAGATGGAGGTTGGCCATTGGATATTCTTGGGGAGGTGGAGGCTGACCATTGGATATTCTTGGGGAGGTGGAGGTTGGCCATTGGATATTCTTGGGGAGATGAAGGCTGACCATTGGATATTCTTGGGGAGGTGGAGGTTGGCCATTGGATATTCTGGGGGAGGTGGAGGTTGGCCATTGGATATTCTTGGGGAGATGGAGGCTGACCATTGGATATTCTGGGGGAGGTGGAGGTTGGCCGTTGGATATTCTGGGGGAGGTGGAGGTTGACTATTGTCTGTTTTAGGGAGATGGGGAATCACCTACATTGTCCGGCATTGGTGTCCTGACCAGAGAATTGTAACAATATACTTATTATTATACTAATTTGGGAAAGTTGGCAGCTGTGATATCCCAAGTTACGCTACTGAGAATTACTTTGCACCACTCACTCACTCTGATAATGTTCACTGTCACAGAGCAGCTGGTTTCAAGAGAGCAAGATCCGGATCGGGCGAGCGATGTCCCCCACATCAAGTCCATCTCGCGATGACTCACCGTCTCCGTCCTCCAGTGAACCTTCCAGCCCACCCACCAAGAGAGGGCGCTTCTCACCGGAGCTGAGATTTGAAGAAATTGAGGATGAAGACTTATAAGAAGTTGTTGCCTTATGAATTTTGAAACTGATTTGTGAAATTACCCCCTGAAAGAATGTAAAAAATTTTGATTCACCAAACTTCTGAAATGGCCACATGGTATATAATTGATATGAAGAAGACAACATTTATAACATTTTTGTCATTGCAATATTAAATGGATATTCAGGAAATATCCCTTAGTATTTCTCATGTCATGAGACATGGCTGAGCTATGTGTATTGTTACTATGGTAACCAGTATAACAGTGACGTGCATTGGCTACAGTTTCTGCTATTGCATGAAATACCTGAGTAAGTTGATTGTCGTGACTAAATCCAAGCACCTTTTCATGACCTTCGTGACCCAGAGACAGTTTGTCATAACCATGTGAATAATTTCATTGTCATTGACTGCACTGATGAATTATGTCATTGGTCAGGTAACGTTTCATCATTATGTCATATTATGTTATTATGTCTGATAGATGTGCATCCTCCTAAACTCTGATAGATACGCATCCTCGTAATCCCGGATAGATGTGCATCCTCGCTATTCCTGCTAGATATGCATCCTTGTAAACTCTGATAGATACGCATCCTCGTTATCCCTGATAGATACGCATCCTCGTAATCCCTGATAGATATGCATCCTCGTAAACTCTGATAGATATGCATCCTCACAAATTTTGGCGAAAGTGTCTTGCTGTTCACTTGACACAAATCCCAAGGACAAGATCAACAGGGAACCTAATAGCGTAGGAATTTGTGGCTTCTTATGTAGTTAACCAATCACAATCTTTTACTAGTTGTGTTAGGAAGGGAGGTAACTCCTCACACAGAGAGATTGACAGCCACTCTATAAATGAGTGAAAGGAATAATCGGAAGGTAGTAAAACATTTTGTCATTATTTATGTATGTATATTAAGGGAATTATTCCAATGAAAAAATGGACTGGTATTTGAAGAATGCCATTGCTACAAATACATTCCTAAGGAGCACAATAGTTTATTGGTCCATATTGGACCCCATTTCTATACATTAAATGGCTGGTGCTGTCCCCACTTTTGAAACACACAGGATACTCTTTCACAAAGATATTCGTGGGTAAATTTTTAAGAATTTTTTTTTATGTAAGCCAACTTTTTTTTCTTTGCTAATACAGCCTAAGGTTGTTGTCACCCATCCTCGATGATCCAGGGAAAATTATAGCTCCATTATTATATCTCTATTACCACTAATTTCACATAGAGTTTCTACACATAATTTTATTGGACAGCTTGTTTTAGTGTCAGATCATTTGAATAACGAAATTATTATGGCGAAACTATATTGACGAATGGAGATGTAGTACTGTAACAATGAAACACTATCATCTCTTAGAAATCCACGTGCAGGCTGTCTTCTTCGTGGTGGGGTATAAGGGATTTATTCTCCCGCTTATTTATTTCCCTCCACGGCAGGATAACTAGTATTTTATCAAGATCACGTGAACCAATCAGATCTCATCATTCTGACATGGAAGTATGATAAACTGGATTATCAGGGATGGTTGAGATTGGAGTTTGGTATTTTGTGTGAAGGTGTACCAGGAGAATATTCATTTAAGGTTTGGCATAATAGAATATTTTCATGCAGGGTATATTCTCTGATTATCTGATATGTTTTATGTATACGTGAGCGGGTGATATGAACTTCAACGCTCTAGGCTGACAACTCGGGTGTTGAAGTCCATATCATCCTTGAGGAGGGTGCTAAACCAACTTATACCATGTGGGCCACAAGCGTAATGAAGTTAAATCAGGATGCAGAACCCATCTTCCCGAGGCAGGTGAGTTAACTGACTTTAAAACATCAGTTTCCATCTTTGCCAAACTAGAATTGAATTATGGAGTTATATTTTGGCTGGACAATGGGTCTATGCATAGTCCAATCAAAATCCTGTAACGATATCGACATGCGATTAATAAACAACATGGCAACTGCTGTGCCGAATTTGGTCGACTGCAGGATTTGCAGAGCATCTGTACCATCAACTGGGCATCGACACATATTTTCCAAAACTTTTAATGTTTTTAATCAAGATGCTCAAGTGATATGATGCATTCGCGAGGTAAAGCCCCTTTTATTGCAATAAACCTCTTTATCATCGATGAGATCGTTTTGACTGAGCGCTGCCATTTTGTTTGAGGCAAATGCAAGTGATATGAGAGATGGAATCTGATTGGTTAGTAGGGGGGATGTTGAAGGGACATAACCACTGGTGGTGCTACGATTGAGCAAAGAATTTCCAAGCTAGTTCGGCAAGGGTGGAAACTGGAAGTCAGGTAACTCAGGAAGATGGCAGAACTGTAAAGACTTGCTCCTTCCTTGTCCGAATTGATTCGTCCAACTTTGGCACATTGCACTTGCAGGTCGTTACAAGAATAAACCAGCCCAAACAATGGACAACACATGCACTAGTAGTATTATTCCTGAATATAGACTTGGATTGGTCCCACTTTACAGAGAGGGCAGCAAATACAGTGATAGTAAAATTTAAAAGAAACACCTAAAGATTTTTATTGATTTTTCTCAGAATGAAAATAATGGAACTGTTTGCTATTTATTCAAGAAGAGAAGGGGCACTGTAGTGATGACAGAATACTGCATCTGCAAGAGTCAGGTTATCACCAGAAGCTATATTCTGATTTTGATGGACACATGCTATAAAAAAAGAGGGCATGTGTAACAATCACTTCATCGTGTTACCAAGGTAACCAAGTAGTTTTGAGGTACATTTTCTATTGTACTTTTTTAAGGGGCTATATATACTTTTTATGAATGATATCAATGTTGATTTGTCCTATGACTGGGAAAAGAGCATATATTGTGAAAATTATGTTTAATTTTTTATTTATCTTAACCGAGAGCAAGTATTGTGTGTGTGCATGGTTTGTTGTGTTTGTTTTTTGTCTTGAATCAAGGCCAGGCCAAGTTTAATGTCATATTTTTGGGAAAACGTTTCCAGGGCCCTGTTCCACAAAGCAATCGTAGTGCAAAGATGATCGTAACTCCATACCTTAACATAGACTTACGGCAGTCGTAGTGCAAAGATGATCGTAACTCCCATACCTTAACATAGACTTACGACAGTCGTAGTGCAAAGATGATCGTAACTCCCATACCTTAACATAGACTTACGACAGTCGTAGTGCAAAGATGATCGTAACTCCCATACCTTAACATAGACTTACGACAGTCGTAGTGCAAAGATGATCGTAACTCCCATACCTTAACATAGACTTACGACAGTCGTAGTGCAAAGATGATCGTAACTCCCATACCTTAACATAGACTTACGACAGTCGTAGTGCAAAGATGATCGTAACTCCCATACCTTAACATAGACTTACGACAGTCGTAGTGCAAAGATGATCGTAACTCCCATACCTTAACATAGACTTACGACAGTCGTAGTGCAAAGATGCTCGTAACTCCCATACCTTAACATAGACTTACGACAGTCGTACTGCAAAGATGATCGTAACTCCCATACCTTAACATAGACTTACGACAGTCGTAGTGCACAGATGATCGTAACTCCCATACCTTAACATAGACTTACGACAGTCGTAGTGCAAAGATGATCGTAACTCCATACCTTAACATAGACTTACGACAGTCGTAGTGCAAAGATGATCGTAACTCCATACCTTAACATAGACTTACGACAGTTGTAGTGCAAAGATGATCGTAACTCCCATACCTTAACATAGACTTACGACAGTCGTAGTGCAAAGATGATCGTAACTCCCATACCTTAACATAGACTTACGACAGTCGTAGTGCAAAGATGATCGTAACTCCATACCTTAACATAGACTTACGACAGTCGTAGTGCAAAGATGATCGTAACTCCATACCTTAACATAGACTTACGACAGTCGTAGTGCAAAGATGCTCGTAACTCCCATACCTTAACATAGACTTACGACAGTCGTAGTGCAAAGATGCTCGTAACTCCCATACCTTAACATAGACTTACGACAGTCGTAGTGCAAAGATGCTCATAACTCCCATACCTTAACATAGACTTACGACAGTTGTAGTGCAAAGATGATCATAACTCCATACCTTAACATAGACTTAGGACAGTTGCAGTGCAAAGATGATCGTAACTCCCATACCTTAACATAGACTTACGACAGTTGTAGTGAAAAGATGATCGTAACTCCATACCTTAACATAGACTTACGACAGTTGTAGTGCAAAGATGATCGTAACTCCCATACCTTAACATAGACTTACGACAGTTGTAGTGCAAAGATGATCGTAACTCCATACCTTAACATAGACTTACGACAGTCGTAGTGCAAAGATGATCGTAACTCCCATACCTTAACATAGACTTACGACAGTTGTAGTGCAAAGATGATCGTAACTCCCATACCTTAACATAGACTTACGACAGTTGTAGTGCAAAGATGATCGTACCTCCATACCTTAACATAGACTTTCGACAGTCGTAGTGCAAAGATGATCGTAACTCCCATACCTTAACATAGACTTACGACAGTTGTAGTGCAAAGATGATCGTAACTCCATACCTTAACATAGACTTACGACAGTCGTAGTGCAAAGATGATCGTAACTCCCATACCTTAACATAGACTTACGGCAGTCGTAGTGCAAAGATGATCGTAACTCCATACCTTAACATAGACTTACGACAGTCGTAGTGCTACGATCGCTTTGAGGAACGGGGACCTGGATGGTAGTGAGGTTCAGGTGGACATGGAATTGTTCAGATGATGATTGAGGCTGGGACTTCATCTCAGTTGCCTATGGTGCCTATTTCCATAATCCTATACACCAGGATTTGATTCCCAGATTTGTCCTGATTTTGTTTCTAGGTTTGTCAGCACCATACCTTGTGGGTTTCACCAAAGTGGTAACGGCGAAGACCTGCATCACTTTGGGATTTCCTCCCACATTAAGCTGACACACCGTGATTTATAAACTGAAATATTTTTCAAAATGATGTAGAAGCCTCACAAGCTCACTCACTGAGGTCCATAAGATGGAAAAATGAGTTGATAATAAGGATTCCAGATATTATGTTGAGAATGCCTCTATGTGTTAGTTGTTAAAAAAGATCTCAAATAATATAAATAAAAACTATCTTTAAGTTTAAGTACATGGTCTTCAAGACGTGTCAGTCAGCATCATCAACACTTGATAGAGGTACCAGCATCTGTACCAAAACATCACATTGAAAGAATAAAGGAACTGAAGTCCATAGATCTAAATCGATCTTAATAAAGTCTTCTTTTGTGTTTAATCCCATATAGAAAGATAAAATTTAAATATACATGGAGTCAAGCTTCCGGCCTTCTTCAGGCACTCCTTTGGGTTAGCACTACATTATTCAAGAGTAATGCTAAGCCGAAAGAGAGTGCCTGACGGAGACCAGGCGGCCCAAAACCTGAGACTGTATATTTATATATATATTTATGTATTCAATAAAAACAACAAAATTTAAGGCAAGTTAATCTTTAAAACAAAAGAAAACTTGGTCATGGCCTAAACTTTGAGGCAGTACTTGGTAAAGGACTGCTGACAGTATGAAGCGAGTCATGACAGGGTTATGAGTGCTCTGATTCTTTTGGTCAGGTAATAATATGGAGAAAAATATGTGAAGACTTTCTGTGATTTGTCTTGAATTTTGAGATGTACATGTGTTAGGGGTGAGTGTGATTTTAGTCATAACATTTTTTTGTATGCGGTTGAATGATTTTTGTCATCAGATTGTGCAATGAGTTTGGTACATGTGACCCTTTTGTCCTATTTATAGCAGCGACTACCAATGTAGCATTTGGATGTTGTCACTAAGATGCTTGATTAACTGTTGTTGGTATCCTGAAGCATTTGTCAATCATAAGATCATTATCATCAATCACTGAATCATTTCCGTCAATCATTCATAGAGGCTAGTCACAAACAGACCTAGTGTAAAAAACATGCAGAATTCATCTTTGCCTTGATATTTCTATTTTTGTAAATATTGAAAAAACTTTAAATTTGAAATTACAAGGAGATGATAATTGGATATAGGCCCCCTCTATAATGATTGAGTGAATTTGGTTTTACGCCGCATTTAGCAGTTGGTATCTCCCCCTTTATACAAGTCTGCTGGTGATGGACAGGAACCTCGTCCTCATTGAGGATTAACAGTAACTTCCTATTTTGTGCATCTTCAATATGTTTATACACTATGTTCTGCCATCACCTGGGAATATTTACGGCTGGTGTATCGTGATACGACCCATAAAGATCCGGGGTAGAATAGGTCTTCAGCAACCCATGCTTGTCGTAAAGGGGACTATGCTTGTCATAAGAGGCGACTAACGGGATCGGGTGGTCAGGCTTGCTGACTTGGTTGATGCATGTCCTCGTATCCAAATTGCGTGGATCGATGCTCATGTTGTCAATCACTGGATTGTCTGGTCTGGACTTGATTACTTACATATAGCTGGAACATTGCTGTGTGCAGCGTGAAACAACAAACATCAAGCAACAAGTATGTCTGGGTATGTTAAGTCAGCTAATGACATGAGGCATTTTAAAACTGACGGAGTCAAATGAGACCGACATTTTACGTGAACTTTATCTTTAAATGTCTTTGTGCGGACCCTACAGCTGCCTTATAGTGAAGCAATATGTAGTTCACTAGGCCATGGCATAGTTGGCACAAAAAAATATTGCTGGCATAATCTAAGCACTCAATGGCTTCTCTGTCCCGATGAAACCAGGACATGGAATGATTCTTTGGGTAAAAATATGACTGCACCAAAACTAGGACGTATCTATCCGCAAGTGATGGAGTAACGTAATGTATACAAATCTATGAGTATTGACAACATATTTTGCTGGTGATGAAGGCAAAATTAACTATTTCACTTGCTGTAAATTTTGCTTGTCATTTGACTATACATAAAGTTATTTGAAACGATTTTCATGAAGATTCTGCTTCATATGGCCTCGTCAGCTTCCGATCAGGTGTATCCAACTGAGACATAATTCTGTGCTTCTGTGTACATAATCACACTCGATTTTCATAATACATTGCTGTATACATCATCATATCCCACTGAGACAATAACACTATGTA